TATAAAAAATAAAGAGTTGTCACAGAGACAGCTACTTACCCAAGGCTGACACTCTGATGAATGCAACGAACACCTCACAATCTCCGTTACACACTTTTTGGGAGCAAAATAAGTATATATACATCATCACAACCCCCCTTTAATTCTCTTGCATATTCCAAAAAAAGAAACAAAAAAGTTTTTTTTTACTCTAAATGATTTTACCCTGTGAGCACTAATAACTTTAGTCTAATACCTAGTTGTTGTTTTTTTTTTTTTTGTTTTTTTCCATGCAATCATGGCCAATAAAACCTATTTGGATTCTAATAATATTCTATAATAAAGTAGGTTAGCATGGTTAGCAGGTCCAACTTTTATCTGAATAATGAATTTTCTTCAGATTATGTAAAAAACAAAACAAAGATATAATCTGCAGAAATGTTTATCTGTATCATGTTGCCAAATAATATTGTGAATGGGAAGAAGGTCGAGTCAAAACAAAACCTGTCTGAGTTTATATCCCTGTGGGATGTCATAACTAATCCTGGAATTTCATTGCGACTCCGTACAGATAAGAACCAGCTGGACTTGGACCAGATCAAAACTGTATCTTTTGATTTTAAAGAAAATCTCAGCATCAGTAAAAGTGAATAAACTGATCTATGCAAAGGTAGACTAGAACAAAATAGAGAATAAGGCTGCAAGACTGCACAGTGAGGTTAAATTTAATTAGGTTACAACAAAGAGAACAGCTTATACACAATAAACCGGATGAAACATTCCAATAAGAAAAAGAAATAAGTCGAATTTTTCACATAACATAACAACAGAAACCATAATCCAAGGAATTTATAGGTGTGGCAAATCCCAGTGCATATCTAACGGTGTGAGCCATATTAAGGGGAGATACTGCTGCTTATTTTACTTTAAACATGAACAAAAATCCAATTGCTCTCTGGTTTAGGTCAGAATCGATTTGATTTAGAATAAATCACACATTTGTTCTTTTTTATAGTTTGCATGAAAGTCTAAATTGAAATCAAATAAATATAAAATAAATGTGCAGGACATAACATTCCTGCAAAATATATGAGATTATTCCATATATTATACACTTCTTCAATTATTAATAGAGTCTATAAAAAGTCCCTGCAGGATTTTGCATGTCATAGAATATAATAGACTGGATACGAGTAACAGTGTAAGACTGCAAACATTCAGAAGTGTCCCCTGGGTTTCTTTTCCGAGATCAGTTTTTCCCTACTTAGCATTCCAACTGAAACCCTGTAAATCATCCTGAACATCTGAACTTGGATCTTTTCTCAGGGGTACTTTTGATTAAAAGATACAATTAACTGAACCCATAAAAGCCGATAGGAGAGAGGCGCCGACAGCATGGCTCTTTGAATTTATGGAGAAGCATGACCTTATTTGACACGTGACCCTGGATCCATTTACTCAGCAACTGGATTCAACCAATGGATGTTCACACAGGGTTTTCCTACTTGTTTCTTGCCTTCTTTCCCTTTGAAGACTCAAAGTTTGTATGTCTTCGGAGCAACATAAACATAAAGAATATTAAATGTGCGTAGAGAGACTTTGGGAGACACAGTTTCCTACAGTTGTGTTGGAGACGGATGGAGGTGTGCTTTTTGGTAGAGTGAAAGCACGTTGATTTGGTTATTAACAGCCAGTGCGGGTTCTGCACAGACTGATGTGCTTCTCATTCTCTCTGTCTTTTTTTCCTCCTTTGGTACAGAGTTGCCCCTTGATGGTAAGACAAATTAATGTTTCAGTGTCTCTGTGAAGAATACTGACTGACAAGCAAACGCATAACTTAAATACACACACTACACCTTTATTTTCCTGGCAGATGATTTATGATCTTGAATAAAGAGAGCAGAAACCCAGAGCTCAGAGCAAAGAGAAGATAATTTAATGTTTCAACACCCTTTTCCCCTTAAATTAGAACTAAAAATGTCCCCTTTAGGTCAGAGAGCTTCAGTAACTCAAGTGATTTAGTGATTTGCTTGGTCCGTTTGTCTCTTGATGTTGTCCATTATCTGTGCATTCATCGGTTCTGCCGGATCTTGCTATCCTGTCCTAATTTGTCCTTTGTGATCTGACTCCAATCACAGATGCTCCACCTGGAGAAGGTCCTCAGATGTCTGAGCAGAGCAGTCTTTTTGTGGTGAAGCCGGAAAGCGCCACTGCTACGAAAGGTTTGTCAAAACAGGCTTTGACTTTCACAGAAGTATGATGTAAAAAAAAAATATAGGATATTTCCACCTTTTATTCAACAGGCTGTATATACTTTTTTTTTTTTTTTATTAATTTTTTTTTTATTTTATTTACTTTTTGGTGGGAGTCCACTCAATTCAACGCCCTGGAGTTATTTGTCCACTGAACTTTGAAGATGCGGCCCAAATCTCTCAGATTTTTAGCACAGATAATGTTAAAGTGCAAATTTTCTGATTATGCACAAAAAACCTTTGGTGACTTTAAATGTGTCATTTTCCTCTGGTGAATACAATTCTTTATTTTTTTTATTCTAAAACCACAAAAGCTAACAAGATAGAACGTTTAAAAAATTTTTAATCATAGGAGAGAACAATAAATTGAAAATGTGGTTGCTAGAAATATATAATCTACTCTTTTGAGAGAGAGTCCTTACAAAAAACTTTAACATGCAGAATAGACATTTATTTCTCTGTAAGTTGATTAATGAAATTCAATTCAATACAGTGGTTCCTAGAAGGCAGATCTTTTAGTTATCAGCCTCCACTCCTGTAGATCCAACTACCAGTTTTAGTTAGTGAGGCAGACACCCTGTCTATTTTAAAGGCTTTGCATGAAACTTTCCTTTTTAAAAAAGCTTATATTAAGTGGCTCAGGCTATCCTGAGCTATCTCTACAGTTACGCTGCTATAGGCTTAGTCTAATGGAGGACATGGGGACCACTTTTCCTCATTCTGCTTCTGTTTTTTAAGTTTATGTTCTCTCTGCTTTGTCTTGTCCTTCATCTGGTCTGTTCCAATGTGCCTTGCTACACAAATTGAGACAGAAAAATCAGCTTTGCTGCTGCCATCAACCTTTCTTTATGGATGTTGGAGCTTAGCCTGTTTTTCAGTGTTATCCTGTTCCTCTTACTGTGACTAAAGGCAATTCCCACTGAAAATAGTATTGGGAAAGAGGTGTTTTTCAAACATGGGTCGACCTGCTAACAATCGACTTTTGGCATTGTTTCCATTGTCTAAAAAAGCTGGATCTAACCCCTCCCTGGCAAGCTGTTTGGACTCTTTCCCCCCGCTGCTGCATGTCTGGTGACACCATTATGCTGGGTTTGAGTTGATGATGTCACCAGTGTGACAGAAATCAGGAAAGTAAACAATGGAGTGCAGCGTATAAGGAAGCCGGCCGATAGTCAGTGTGCTTTATTGTTTTGCTATTTTATCTGTTTGAATCTCTTTTAACCATGCTGCGCAATGATTATTAAATGTAAACAGAGTTGTCTCAGCTTGTTAGATCAGACGATACTGGCATGGTGAGTTGAGGTCTGTATGTTGCGCCCAATAGTATCACGTAAATTAACAGGTCAGCCTGGGTCTGGTGTTTCCATCAGAGCCGAGGGGATTTTAATACATGTCACTTACAGAGTCTTTTAACCTGGGTAGACACTGGTCAGTGAGCTGTTCCCACTGCCACTAAAAGCAGATTGTTCCCGGTTTTAAACTGGTTTTTCTGCCACTGGGAAAGTGGTATTGTTTTATATGCTCTATTTCATCCTCTGACATGGGAGCTGACATCTGCATGGCTGTCTCTTTACAAAACTGGGCCCCCTGTGGAGCTGATTGACAGTTAACTCTACTTCTTTCTATATGTCTGCTTCTATCTCTTTGACCTTCAGTCAGCCTTGGCAGAAGGCATTTAACACTGCTTGAGGTTTCAACCTGTTAAAAGGGAGGTTTTCCTCTCCACTTTCACTGCAAGCATGCTTTGTGTGACAGGATTGCTGTTGAGTCAATGAGTTGATGCAATCAGTTGGTTTTCCTTGATAGAAAACCAATCTGACTGTATGATCTGGTTGAATTGTCTCTGTAAAGTGCCTTGATATGACATGCGTTGTGAATTGGCATCCAGTAAATAAAATGAATTAAATTAAATCTTCTTGGTAGCCTTGCTGACCATTTTCCTTTGTGTCTTTTTACATTTATTTTTTCTAATGCCTTCTTTTCATTGTGTCTGGTTCCTAAACATCATTATTTTGTTTTTGTGATCTTTACCTGACTGATACAATTTGTACAATGAGATCCCTTTGATGCTCTTGGACCACTCATTAAATATTTACTTTGTCAAAAAGATGAAAAAAAAATTTACATAAAATTTATAAAAACAGCTCAACCTCATTTGAGGGCAGAAGTAATCTAAAAAAAGGCAGCATCTGGTTTATTTTACCAAAAGCCTTTTTTATAATATCGGTTCTAAACTGTGCAGGCTTGACGTCACAATAACTGTGACATATTTTTGCCAAGATTTGATCATGATTTAATTTTTCTACATCACACAATGCTGATATTTTAATGGGGTTGTTTACTTTACACCCGCAATATCCTCATGTGGCCACTCTGTACAAAATGTCCACAGAGAGGACAAACTGTTTGTGTGTCTTGAATAAAAAATGTCCTTTATCTTTGTTCATGGCAGGGAAGGACATCACGTTTGTGGCCAAAGTCGACTCCTCGACTCTGACAAGGAAGCCTGTCATGAAATGGCTGAAGGGGAAGTGGCTCGACCTGTCTAGCAAAGCTGGGAAGCACCTGCAGTTTAAGGAGTCTTACGACAGAAACACCAAGGTACAAGTCTATTGTTTATGTCAAGACCTGTGTGTGCTTTGCCTTTCAAGCTTTCACAGCTCTGTAAGGTTACTGTTGGACTTTATCATGATTTTTGTGGCGTTTTTATATCACCCAAATGCGGAAATGTGGAGGCAGAGATGAGTTTTGCTGATTTAATTGAATTCCCAAAGGCAACATAAGCAGAATCCAAAAAACAAAAATACTGAAAACCAAAAAATCCAGGAAATGCCTGGGAGAGAAACATGCAGGGAGCCAAGAAACAACAAAGCAACTAAACAACAAGAAAACAGCAATGAGGAACCGCAGAGGTGGTGTATATATATATGGGGAACAGAACAAAGCATTGGCTAATGAGCTGATATGGAGCAGGTGTGAATAGAACTAGCTAGAAAGGAGCCAAAGGGAACAGAAACAAACACTAGGGGGCAACAGAGAGTAACTGAAGTACACAACACTGCTAGAAAACAACTAAAAAGACACATTTCAGATTTTCTAAAAGTGGATATTTTGAGGTGAGGTTGTGTAAAATTTTATATATTCGCAATCATATGAACCATCATCATACAGACAAGTAGTAGTTACTTGCAGGGATCTACTACATTGGAAAAATGCTTAAAAGTGATAAATGTTTAGCTGGGACATCATGGTCAAAAGAAAAACAGTAATTTTGTTTGACCCTAAATATTTAAACTTGTTCTATCCATCATTCAATGTTCAGGAAGGGTTTAAAGTGTAAAAGTGTAAATTATATCACTTTTTCAAATAAAAAATAAAAAAAAACTCTGAAAGCTAGAGCTTTGGTTTTTGGGCAATTATTTTTAAAGTGTTTTTTTTACATTTGCTATTTAAAATTTTCATTAACATCTGGAGTTGCATGTGTTTTTTAAATATTATTTTTTAGCAATACCTTTGTTGTGTTAAAAAGACAATAAATAAGTAAAAATATAGCCGGTTTAAATTATTCTTGATACGATTTTCTATTCATATTGCTCTAGGTTTATTTACTGGTAGGCTTGCACCTAATTCAATTTCATTGGAAGAAGACTGAAATAATATGAAATAACAAAATTAAACAAAAAAGATTTCAGAAAAATTTTGTTGACTAATTCATATAATCAAGTTAAAATGAATGTACCCCCTCTTTGGTTTAACATGTTTATGTACTAGGTTATAATATAAATTCTGGCATAAAATCCTACCTCAAATGTTGAAAAACATGCTTCTCATTCAATATTTCCATTATTTAAATCGAAAAGCAAGTGTTAACTAGAATATTCTGATTAAAACTGTCAAATAATAGATCATCAACACTGTTGAACCTCTTAAAAAGCAGGAATTTTAGCAGTTTGCTGTAATATTAGATGCCTTTAAAAATGCCAGGGCAGAATTGCATGATCAATGGGCTAAAAAAAAGCAATTGGTCTTTCGTCTTAAGCTGGGAAATGTTGTGAGCCAATTTACTATCCATTTGAAATGTATCATTCCACATTAAATTTGAAAAATTCCTTAAAAACCTAGACTGTCCAATTGAAACTGTAGTCTACAGACCCTTACAGCAGTTGGCATGTCTTCAAGGCAGGACAATTGGAGAACAGCTGAACAAAAACCAGATATATTTTTGATTACGCTGGGTATGAGGTGAGGTGTACAGACTATAAACCTGTTAGCATGTATCTGATGATGACTATGTGCGTTCTCAGCGTTTCACCTCTTCTCTCTGTCAGATCTACACTTACGAGATGAACATCATCAAAGTGGTGGATGGAGACGCAGGTGGTTACCGCTGCGAGGTCACTGCCAAAGACAAGTGCGACACCTGCACCTTCGAAGTCTCCGTGCAGGGTAGGTCTGCCGAAAGACACTTAATCACATTATTGTCATTTTCCATTCAACGTGTCCGCCATTACTATGTAACTGACTTTGTCAGCCAATAACTCAGTGAGTGCGATGCACATTAGATCCTGTCATTTAGTGGCCTCATGAGGTCATCAGTCCATTATTTCGTTGGTGCTTGAGCCTGGTGTGTAATGAATTAACCTCACTGAGCACTCACCAGCCTTCCCTCTTCTACCCGCTCAGCTGTACAGGAGGAGCAGGAGGACAACATCTTGGAGGCGTTTAAACGATCGTGAGTGTCAGTTTCGACGAGGGTCTTCTCGACATGTCACCCGTCACACTGCCTCGCTCTGTGGCTGCCTGTAGATCGCCGCCTCTGGGCTTCTGTCAGTCTCAGCTGGCGTCTCTGCCCATGTGTCTGTCAATCTTTCACTGCTTGCATGATCTGTTTGCCGTCTCTCACATCCTGTCACATCTTTAATTATCTGCTTTCTGTATTTCATCATGTGTTTCAGTTAATATCTGTTGAGAGAATTTATGGACACTGTAAAAAACATTCATATTTGTTTGTGCTGTTTTTCACAGTTAAATGTTTCTAATCATTTACACCTGGGTAAAAGAAAGGGTTAGTAAGATCTATTAGAACTAACCCCCTCCACAATTCAACATGCAAAAACATACTATGTACTCAATAGAAACACCTGTTTTAGCTTGATTTTACTAGCCACAGCCAAGCCTGCCTACTGTCACACCTGCTGAATTAAGATCATTCTTAAATAGAAATTATCTGGTGGCCTGAGGAAGGCTGCGAGATGTCAAAATGCAAGACGTCACACCCTATTTAAAGAATTTTTAACACAAATAGAAAATAAATCAACGACATCTATCAGTCAGAGAATATTAGAGGTTAGAAAAATTTAGAACATTCCGTTTCTAGTGCTTTGGGGCTCTTGCAAAACACAGTGACAGATATTTTGTGGAAATGGAGCAGACATGAAGCAGCAGTAGATTTTGTCAGGAGCCAAAACATTTAAACTCCTCCAGGACTGTTTTCACTCATTTAAGGTCAGATATCTTAATGAGAAAGAGACTGGGCAAACATTAGAGAAAAGTTTCAAGATTCAACAGTCTGAGATGTTCAAGGTGCTCAGTACCTATACCAAAAACACTCCAAACCATACATTAAACCAGGCATATAATGTATGATTCTTTTGTCCTTGTTGCACAGATTTTTCTGTCGTGCAATAATTTTTTGGATCGGGCCAAGTTTCAGCTTCATCGTGCGTCCTGCATTGTGTAGTACACATTAGGTAAAAGTAGGCGATTAAACTCTCAAGGCCACCTTTCAAATCAGAACGGTACGCTTGAATGAAAATCAAAAAATTTTGAAATTAGTGAGATGATCATATCATGCTCTTGAAGCAGTGATTAAAGCCCAGCGTACACTGTGCGATTTTCGAGGCAATTTTCCAGTCGTGCGAGAATCTTTCGATCGGGGCCGACTTTCAGCCTGATTGTGCGTCGTGAGTCGTATAGTGTACAGGGGGTTACGAGGGGCGATCAACACCTCACGACCACCTCCTGATTAGGAATCGTGACCGTCTTGGGCAAATCGCTCAGGGCGCAAAGAAGGATTCTTCTTTTTATTCTTCCTCTCAGATGTAAACACAGCCGCATGGCAGGGATGCAATGAGTCTGTAAAATTGACAGACCGTAGAAGCCACGTTTGCTCAGCTATGTCTTTTTTTCAAATACGTCGTCGCCTTTTCTTTTATGACTTTCAGCACAAAATTGCACAAATTGACAAATCAGTGCATTTCACTATAGTTAGCCTAATATCCCTCTTCTATTTGTTTGGCTTCAGGATAGAGAGCTACAGAGCAGCTCCATCTTACTACGGAGCTGAGTCCGATGTGATTTTTAGTTGTACAGTGTGAGCAGGTAGATCGCATCGGAGCGTCGGGCCGAACATAAATCATGAGCTGCTGCTCACACTGTGCGACTAAATCGCAAGGTTTTGCCGTACAACGTGCAATGATTGAAAAAAATCGCACAGTGTACACCCGGCTTAAGAGCCAATTTACCTCAACTTCACGCACCGTGTATGTTCAAACAATTCTTCCTTGTTTCTGACTTAACTAGCAGATAGATGCGACCAACCAGGGCCATCTCTCTACAGCTCTGAGCCAGGTATGTGGTTTTTGGTCATACAGAGTGAGCAGTCAGATCGCATCAGAGCATTGGCCGTACAGTGTAAGAATAATTGTGAGCTGTCAAGTTTTAAATCCTGTGGTTTAATCATACAATTTCAGCTGTAGCGGAGTACAATTATTCAAGATAACATAAAGTGTATGCCCAGCGTTAATGTTATGATAAAGTAATACACAGCCATTGTTTTTCCTGATAGTGTTTATGTAGTCTTGTTTGAACGTGAAAATAATTTTTGAACCTGGAAGCATCAGCAGACAAAAACACTGCCGGACCAGCAGATGGCGATAATCTTGGACATTTTTTTTTTAAACCCACGTGGGGAATTGCATGGCTCCAATATGAGCATGTGCAATATTGTACCTACAATCTTGTTATTGCAAAAGAAAAAAAAAACACTTGTTTACAAACAAATGTGGCAAAAACAACTATGATTTAACTTTTAACCCTTTGAATGCAACCAGAGAGAGCTACAGATGTAGAAATTCATAAAGTGATGGTTTGTGACTAGGTCCCTGTAAGCTCAAGCCCACTGAGAATGTCCATCTCTGACTAGCAGAAAAGTGGCCCAGTCAAAGTCCTGACTTAATGAGATTGAGAAAACCATTTACAGTCCGTGCATGACTGATCACCCTGAAACGACTGAAATAAAGCATTTCTTCAAAGAATTTTTCAAAATTTCTCCAAAGCTGATAAGGTAGAGTCAATGGCGTTGTGACTGGAGCACAACCAGTTTTTCTGTCAGGGAGTTTACAGCGATTTTACACAGTACTGGCTTTGTTTGAATGTTGGTTTCTCTTCATTAAATAATCAAGGATTTGAAACTATTGTTGCACCGATGCCATTTTTTGGCCCTCATATGATACCTGGCTGTGCAGTATTGGCCTATATCCATACCATCTGTTTGAAATAAATCTGTGTATATATGAAGAACTGCATCCTACGTGGATGTATAATAATTTCCATCATGGCTTGTCAAGCTGCTGCCTATCTTTGTTAAGCAGGAAAAAGACTAATACAAAGTGAAGCCAGTAGAGCTTTTTATTGCCTATTTGGATTGGGTGACAATAGTTGAATAAACCTTTGGCTCTCAAACTGGTATCAGTGCCCTATTTGTTGGTATACCGATACCACCATTTTAGTGCTGGATCGGGGCCCCGCCCGAAACTGATATCGGTATCGGTGCAACACTATTTGAAACCCAATTTTTTTCTCAGCTTGTCATTGTCTGATATCAAAATTATTTTGAGGACGTACAATAAAAAAGCTAGAACAGAGGAAGCCTGCAAAAATATTTTTTTCTGTTTGTTTTTTCTTTGTAAAGGATAACCAAGGATTAAAATTTGTAATTTTTTATCTCCTCTAAAATACCTGTGATGGTAAATGAGTCTACACCTTCACACTGACACACATCGCTTCATATCTGCACTCCGTGTTTCAGAGCATAATTCCCTTCCTTCATTAGAGCCCCAGCAGAAAAGCGTGGGCAAAGATGAGAGAGTCAACATGCAACAAGACAGCTTCATATTGTGCTCTGGACAAGATGTCAGAGGGCTTATTTGCAGAGTGGTGATATGAGGGAGGGAAAGGTTGGTGTGATAAATGAAAAGTGAGATATTTGTTAAAACCCAAGCATGCTGCCGGAGAGATAATGTGTGAAAGATTCGAAGTTCACGCAGCTTCACCTCCAGAGAGATAGTAAGGTGGATCATCGCTCTAACTCAGACGTTCGCCTCTCTCCAATTATTAGACTGTGAGTTAAGAATGTTGCCTGTGATTGTTTAAATGCTGAGATTTACTGAACGATGGAGGCATGTTTCTGCTGCATTTGAAGGCATCAAATAAGACTTTTTTTTTTTTTTTTAACGGGATCAATTACAGTCAGATTATACAGACAGCTTAAGTACATACATTCCAATAGATACGACTCATTAAACAACAGCCAGGTTCAGTTTGTTTGTCAAATAGTTTTTTTGATGAAAGAAAGCAAGCAGATTATATTGAGTCATTTACTTGCACCATGCAGTCCTCCTGGATGAGCATGTAATGGCAACTTGCCTGGTGTTGTTGAGTTTGCTGTAATCCTATATTTATAGGAGGTTTCTGCAGACAGGATGTTGCAATGTGCTTGAATGAGTGTAGGGGAGAAATCATTTTGTTTTGGTTTGATAACCTCAGATTACAAGGAGAATTATATCTTTGGATCAAATGGGAGATAAAGGAGAGAGAGATGTCTGTGTAAAGGTCTCAAGGTAAGATTTTAAAACATCTTGATCTGGCTGGGAGCCGCCGAGTTCCTTAGTTAGAGCACGTCAGAAGAATTTTGGACAACCTACAGCCCTTTCTTTTTAAAAGGTGTAAACAGAAGGTTATGAAAGTCCGGTCATGAGGAGACAAAAGCATGAAACATCATCTAAATTTCTTGGGTTAGCATATATATATATATATATATATATATATATATATATATATATATATATATATATATATATATATATATATATAGGAAAGCAGAGAAAAATACTTGCAATCTGAACGGTTCTAAAGCAGCGCTGCTACTGTCCAATCACAGACCCGATTCCGTGGTGAATCAGATGTTTGTAAAGTGAGCTTCTCAGAGTGACAGTAGTGACAACCAATCACACAAGAAAAAAACAGAGGTCTAATCAGGAGCTTTTAGGCAGTCTAAACTCAGGGAAGGGGGCTTCAGCTTGAGCTGCAGTTTTCCACTAGGTCCTCGTGGTCGACGAGTGCCGATCTACTGTAACGTAACATTGTTTTTGGACAGTAAAAAGTGCAGGGGACCAAAATAGACTCTTGAAAATTGCAGGGAACATGTCCCCTGTGTCCCCCCCAGAGTCACGTCCATGGCTTCATGCATACTAAATATGCATTCAGCAACAGTGGAAAGGAAAACTCTCATTGCACAGGAAGAAAAATTCAGAAGAACCAAAACCTAGCTAAATGTGAACAACCTGTTTTCTCGATCAACGTGGGTTTTAAGAAGACAAAACCTAAGTGGGATTGAAGAAATGCTGACCTAAAATGTCGGAACATAAAGAACGTAATATGTAATCAGTCCTG